TGAAGTTAATAACCAGTTTTTCTATTGACATATGTTTATATGCCTATAATCCTCCTTTTGTTTGAAGTAAATGACATAACTTTGTAAAAGTTCTCCTGTCTATTCTAGTATTATTTACACATTATCTATCGCTTTTAAAAATCATTACATTTAAGTTTAACTCTTTAATATGTGGCCTATCATTAGATGTTTCACCATAAGATATAGTTTCAATCAGATTTAAATGACATCTAAAATATGAAATAAAAAAGAAAAGATTGAAATGTAACAAATAATGTAGAATAAATAATTACGTATCGGATAGTACATACACCATTTTTTGAAAAAGGCAAAGATTAAATGATGGATGTTGAAGCTAAAGTTGGTTCAAATAAAAAAATATTTGTTTTAAGCTTAAATATGTTGAAATAAAAATAAAAAATGTATTGATTATTGAAACATGATGAAGACATTAATTAAGGCGTTTCATATATAGAAACGCCTTATTTGATGTATTAAATATAGGTTCTTTTTGAAGTTGATTAGATATTACAATATTCATATTATCATAACACAATCTTTGAGAGAAAAAATAAAATTTTTAATGTGTTAATTACAACACTTGAAGGAAGAAATGCCTTAATTAAGAGAGAAAGTTAAATTTTAATATTTCTCATTTACGACATTTTCTAAGAAGAAATGCCTTAATTAATAATCAATTAAGGTGTTTTTCCATTAAAACACCCCAATAGCCACTTGAGTCTTTATTAAATTGTGATTGAAAATCAATCATGTCATAACATAATTTTCAAGATCCAAAACGAATTTTAATATGTGACAATTAAGGTGTTTCTTCTTTGAAACGCCTTAATTACCACATATTAAAACTAAATTAAAAATAAGAAAATTAAAAAAAAGCTAAAATTGAGTTCCAAAATTGTTTTTCAAATGAGTAATGGATATGTGATCAATTTTTTATTCAGATCAAATTTGAAAATAAGGTAACTTTCCTCTCAAAATCTTAAAATACCATAAGAAGATGTGAGTTTTTGATTTTGGGACTTTAGGTACTATTAAAAATCTAACATTTTTCTCAATAATCAGATTACCCTAAACTAAACATACTAAACAAATACCCACCATCAAGATTTTGGGAAAAATTTGTAGATTCCCCTGAACCAAATGCATTCTTAATGGTTTTCCTAAATTCTTAACAAAATCACATAAGGTTTACACTCCTCTTGAACTTACAATCTCAAATGAGATAGATTAGTTTTTATAAATTAGATAATCTCACCAAGGTTGGGTGTTTGCCAAATAAGTACAAAAAAAATACTAAATAGCTACTAATAGATATTGAATATAAGGATAAAAAAAAATTTAAACTCTAAACACTTGATTTTTTTCTTGAATTAATTGTAGACATTGAATGAATGTTTTTGGATATTGTCTCTTAACTTGAATGGTGTTGGAAGACTCCTGTTATAGTTAAATTTTGTTTGGAACTGTTGAAATTGAAGTGGTGAAGAAAACAATCATTATTTCCTTGAAAAACTAGCCATTGGAGGCTACTAGGATGTAAAGGATCCAATCCATTAGGAGATCACTTGGGCTAAGAATTTCTTTTAAAATTTGACCATTGTAGGCCAAGGGATCGATCTATTTTTATAGGGGATCGATCAAGTCATGCTGGGTAGCAGTTTAGGTGAAAATTCTTCATGGGATTTGACTGCATTAGATTTTATTTTGCACTCTTCTTACTAATTTGAACTTATCTTGAGTTATACAACTCCAAATCAAGATCCGTTTGAAAATTTAAAAACTTTACTTAAGGGGCTTTCTATCCATATAAAATTCAACATCTTATTCAATATATAAAAATTATAATGAATTTCCAAACCTACCCTTTGTGCAATTATTAAACATCTTGAATAGTCTCTAGTAAATAATCAAGATCTATTCTTAGAAAATTTGCATTTCAATTTTGTTTAGTCAATTAGAAAATAGATTCAAAAACCTTTTCAACCATATAAATTTTGAATATTAAAACTTTATAAATCAATATAAAAAAAAACAAAATCAATGTTGAAAAACTTTGTTCTTACAAAATAAAATTTTCTAGTTAATGTATTTCTCAAAATTAATATTATCAAAATTGTATTGAATTCAACATGAATAAATTCACTTCAAAACAAATAATTAGACTTTCATTTAAGCTCAAATATAAATCTTTAAAGCATATCTTTTATTTGAGAAATATAAAAACATAAAGAAATATTTGTTTAAACTTAAAAGTCATTTTTTAAATAACTATTAATGTTAGAAACTTATATTTTAGAGATAAACATTAAGACTAATCTTTTAAGATATTTTTTTGCCAAAATATTTTTCAAATCAAATAACAATTTTAAAAGGCATAATATTTGTTAGTACCAAACATAATATGTCTTAAGAACCATGTAGTAAACAAAATTCTTTCAAAATTTAAAACTTTTTTACAAAATATTTTTCATTTCAAATATCACTTTGAAAAATATATTTATTTAGTACAAAAAATATAACACTTAAGAACAAGAAATAAATAACTCTTTTTCAAAATCTTAATTAAGCTTATTTAACTAATATTTTATCATTTCAAAATAAGTATAAATTCAAAACTAACAAAAATATATATTCTTTGATATACACCTTAAGGTGGATCGGGGTAAAGTGCCATTAACATGTCTCCAACCCAACTTCATTTCTTTTTAAAAAACTCAATCTACCCTAACTCGATTTTGATAAAAAAAAAAATTGCATCTCGGATTGATCGGATTGAAATCCATCTAAAATTAAATAAATAATAAAAAATTTATTTATATATATCTAAATGGAGCAAAATACCTTAAACTCACATTCGACCTGACTTATATTTTTGAAAAAAAACTCAATTTGATCCTAAATTAAAAAAAAATGCACCTATTGCTTCAGACGAACCAAAACCCATTAGATATAAGTTGTTTTGTCATCTATACCTTCACTAACTTTTATTTTAAAAAATTTATTTGCCAGTTTCTTTAGTTGCAATATTTATCTAATTAAAAAGCAAAAAACAAAAACAAAAAAAAAATGAAAGGTAAAAAATAAAATAAGATGCCACATGGATCCATTCGTTAATATTTTTTTCTTTCAAAAAATTGATTTAACAAAAAAAATAAAGGAAGCAAAAACCTAAAAAAAATAGAAAAAAGACGAAAAGCAAAAAGAAAAAAGAAAAAAATTGGATTGTCGTGTGATGAGCTATTTTGGCAAAATTTATATTATGAATTTGCTAAAAAATAAAAACTTTAATAAAAGAAAAAGGTTTAAAAATATTAAATTTGGATACCACTAGACACCTTCGTTAATATAATTTTTTTTACAAAATTATCTAATTTAAAAAAGAAAAAAATAAAAAATTAAAATTTATAATAGATAATATCAAATGAATCCTACAAAAAAATTTAGAAAATATTTATTAAATATAAAAAATAGAAAAAGAAAAAATAAATAAAAAAGTGAGAACGGAAAAAGAAAAGAAGATGAAAAAAAAGGCTTGATACATAATATCAAATGAGCCCTATTAAAGAAAAATTTAAAATATAAGAAATATTAAATATAAAAAGTAAAAAAGAAAAAATATTTATTAAACATGAAAAAAGTAAATAAAAAAAGGGAAAAGAAAAAAAAGTTTGACATGTGTAAAGTAAAATATACAAGATTTAGATATATGAAGGAAAAAAAAAGTGTAAAATATACAAGATTTAGATATATGAAGGAAAAAAAAAGTGTTTCCTTAATACAATGCTAAAAAAAATTAAAAATTAAACGGCAAAAGGTGTAAATTTTTCATTTTATTTATTTATGTGATTAATGTAATTAGTTTAAATTTATAACTAATTTTTTAGTAATGCAATTTTAACATTTTATATTTATAATTTTAGGGCAAATTTGATGAAGATTTTTATTGATTTTTATATATAATTTATTATATTACAATTTTTTATCAATATTTCAATTAATATCACATGATAAATAATTTTACTATATTTCGAGTTTGTAAAAAAATTAAAAATACTTTTTTTTTAATTTATATGAAATTAAAATTTTTTATATTCTCTGTTTATAAGTAATGAACATAATTATTCACTTGATTAGTAGATTAATTCGATTTAAATTGAGTTTTTAAGTTTAAATTTGGTTTGATTCAATTCAAAATTTTAAATTATTAATAAAATTTATTTTTATTTTTTTTTATTTTTATTTTAAAAATTTTAAAATAATAATTTTAATATTTTTTCGATAGCTCATATTTTTTAAAAATTTTTATGGCTCTAAAATCTAAAGCCAACTAGCTTTAAACAATCTTTTTAAAATTTCAACCCTATCTGACTCAACCATGAAAGAGGTTTGCTCACAAACGAGAACATGCTCGAACCAAATAGCCAACACATACACACTTTAAAATTTTAATGATAAAATATAGGGAAAAATAAATTTAAAAAATTTAAAAAGAAAATAAGTCTCGTCTCATAGTACTCCCAAAACGGAAATGCAATTGTATACAAAAATAAAAAAGAAAACAAAGTCACGGTTAATTGGATTATATTTCTCCTTTGAAAAATGCTACAGTCACTTTGGGTTTTCTATCTCCCCGTCAAATCCTCGACAATCTCTGACCCTCCATTAAAAGTCATAAAATTCTAATTGGTGGACCCATAGGATGACAAGATGATCTTATCTTATCTGAAATAGACGGTGATGGTGAGCGCTGTGATGGAAGATAGTTAACAGAGACGACGTGAGGTAAGAATTTAATGTACTTACTAGTAACTTTGGAGAATTGGATATTACTAAAAATCAAACCACAAAGAAAAGAAAAGAAAAGAAAAGAATCTATATATATATATATATATTAAACAAAACGAAACCTCCCCTCCCCCACCCCCAAAAGAAAATGATAACTTTTTTCTTTTTTATTTGTTTGTTTGTTTAATCTGATAAGCTGCAGATATATATATATATATATATATAGAGAGAGAGAGAGAGAGAGAGAGGAGTGATAGCAAGACCAATGGTAGTGGCGGCGGCTCTGGTGGCGTAGGACAGATAGCGGCGTCGGTGAAGAAAGTGGTTCAGAACCTTAAAGAGATTGTTAATAATAACTGTACGGACTCGGAGATCTACTCCGTCCTTAGAGACTGTAATATGGACCCTAACGACGCCGTTCAACGCCTCCTCCTCTCAAGGTTTTTCCTTCTTTTTCATTTTTTATGATAATAAAGATAATTGTTCTCTCTGTTTTTGCTTTCCTTTTGTTTACGCTACTTTTGTATTTGGTTGCTCAGGAAACTGAAAACAAATATAATGTAAAATGTTTTTCTCATCATATTTTATGGGGAAAATATATATTTTTATTCTTTAACAATTTGTTAAGACTTTTAGATGTTATATGTTTTTCTTTTCTTTTCCTTTTCTCAAATGTCTCCGTTTCGCTTTCACTGTCACTATTATCTTTTTTAATTTTTTAATTTTATTTTCCAAATAACAGTTTGACTTTAAAAGCTTCAATTTTGCCCCCAAAAAAAAAAATTTAAGCGGTGTTATACAGTATATAATAGTTGCTCTTTGATGGCTAGAGGTTTATTTACTTATTTGTCTTTCTGGTGCATGATTCTTTCTTAGCTGCCAAACAACTGAGAATGTAATAACTGAAATTAATGGAAGTTTTGAATTCTACTGAGTTGTGTGATTCAATGCTCTTTCCACTTTAATGGAAGAACACTGTCACTTTGACAATTTTTAGTAAGAAATATTTAGCAAATTAATTTTTAATTTTGTAGATACTTTTAATGAGGTGAAAAGCAGACGTGAAAGAAGAAAAGAGGTATTCTATTTAAAAATGTGCTTATTCTTTTTCTTCATTATGGAATTGGTTTTTTCCTTTGGGAAATTCTATTGGCAGCCACTTTTTTGCTCATAACGGCCAACTACTAATTACACCCATGTCTCTAATTAAAATTGCTCAATACAACCAATACGACATTTTGGCACACTTACATTTTTGCCTGGGGAACTGAAACACATTTCTGGTTGCATTTTACCTTTACATTGGATTTGTACGGAAATTTGAATGGAAATGCATTTCTGTTCTCATCGTGTAAAAATTGTTCTGCACATATGGACCTGCAGTGAGGTGGGCAATTTACCGCAAATACAAGTCCGTGTGATGGGAACATTACCAGAAGTGCATGTCCGTCTGTTTTGGCAGTGGGTTGTGAGAAAGGCAAGGTAATTGGGTGTGGCTGAAGGGTTACAAAGTAATTTTATTAGAGATAATAAAGTAACTCATTCCAAGGGCAATTTTGTATTAGAAAATGTGGCTGTCATGAGCAAAATTATGGCTGCAAATAGAATTTACCTTTTCCTTTTTTTAATATAATTTTTGTTCTGTTGATATGTCAGATGAAAGAGACACAAGAACTAAAAGCTCGAGCTAACAATTATATGTCTAATCATGGTGTTAGAGGTGGTAGTGAACATTCTTTTGGGTGGAGTGGACCAATACAAATCAGCTCCTATGGTATGGTCTTTGGAGCATGTATGCCTTGGTGACACTAGTGTAAAATGTTTTTGTTCTGTTATTATTAATATGACATTCTGTACCTTGTTGCAGAGCTTGGTAAAGCTGCATACAGGAAAGAGAATGGCTCAGTTGCCTCTATTCCCTATTCTGCTTCTTCAACATTACGTGTAACTGGACAAACTTGGAACGAGCAGCATTCCCCTCGAAGGTTAGTTCTAATGAAGCAAAATTGTTGCTTTTTCTATTATGTGTCCTTATCTGATTCTTAAGTCTTAACAGAATATAAATTGGTCTAGCTTATTGATGCTGCTTGATGAAATGTGTACTTATTTGTTTTGAGCATCTTAAATTCTTCTGCAGCAATTCTTTTAATTCTGATAATAGAAGACATAGGAAGAGGTGATATGATTGGTTCATCCTTGCAAACATCTTCTGGATCACAATCTGCTTGGGTGGGGGACGCCGTAGGACATGTTACTATGGCTGATATCGTAAGAATGGGTAGGCCACAGAGCAAAGGCTCACAAATGCCTTGTGAAACATCTTATGCCCATCAAGATTCATGTTTTGAGTTCGACTTTATAGAATTTTCTATTTTCTTTATTTGATTTTTAATTAAACTAATGACAGATTTTTGCAATATAAAGTCATGGGATGCTATATAATAATCATGGATTCTGCTGATGCAATGTTTGTACTTTGATAATTATTACTATTTAGAATGTCTATTGTAGTCTCATTAGAGTGAAGAACTTGGATTTCTTTGCAGAATTTCTCCAAGATTCTATGTTGCTTTGTATTGCAAGAGTTATTATGTATGGTATCATTTTATTCTCCATTTTTAGAAAGTTTTATACCTCCATTTTTAAAATTTTACTGCCTTGTAGAACATTGGTGGTATTAAGTAAAGAAATTTAGTTCTTTCTGATTTAAAACAAGGAATTTCAGGAAACTGATTCCATGTCTAGTTATATGCTCTGTGCCATAAAATAACATTATGGTCCTTAGCTTGTAAAACATATGTAGAATGTATGAGCTTGTGATAGATACAGGACAAAGGAAGTGGTCGGTTGTTAAGTTACATACATTTTGGTCCTTTGTAGAAGAAAAACATGCAACATGGAGCAATTTTTTGTTTTACTATTGTTATCTGTCTCTGATTTGTGAAAGTGGAGAAAAAGGATTGGGAAGAGATGGAAAGAAAGGCTCCTAGTATTCTTTGTCTTATATGCAAAGAAGAAAACTGTTATTGATTGTAGAACATTACAGACTTGTTTATTCTATACTTTTTTGGATGTATTATTTGATTGGTTGAATGGGAAGTGCCCATGGGAACATAGCTCTTTTTTTTTTAAATGTAGTTGTGGGCTTTAAAGGTGTGTTTGGATGAGGCATTTGGAATAGAGATTTCATTTCAATCAAGGTTTTCGAAAGTTCAAAAATGAATTTACTTGTTTGGGTAAAAAAAAGAGAGAATTTCAAAATTTAGGTGGAAGTTTGAGAGTGCTCAGATTCCCTCTTGAAATTCCACCTAAAGATGTGGTTTTCAAAATTCCTCCAAATCCTCCATCTCTTTACTACTACACATGGCCCACCTTAAAATATAAAACTCAAAAAAAGAAAAAAAGAAAATATCATTTTATTTAACTCTAATATATTTGTATATTTTATATTATTAATAATATCTATATATTCTCACAAATCTATTGATACCCATATCGCATATTTTATTTATTCATATATATTTATCTTTAATGTTATTATTCTTCTTTTATAATTATTTTTTTTATCTTATCAAATTTCAGGAGACTAAATTTCTTTCTAAGAAGTATTTATCCAAACCAAATGATTACAAATGCTAGCATTTTGAAATGATGCATTTTAAAATCTATTCAATTCAAATTTCTTTAAAATTTCAAAATTCTTCTTCCAAACACACTCAAAATTTCTTTAGCATGAGAAATATAATTGCATTTGAAAGTGATTGCAGTTAGTGCAATTTATGTGCAACACTTACTACATGCATTATTGACTCTCTCTCTGTCTATTCTTCTGTATTTTCCAAGCGTATGCTAGATGGTTGGTTCATGGATTTAGATTCTGTGCATTTTAGCATAGCTAAATGCTTATGAAAATTGGTTATACTGTGTTTATATTCCTGCAATGCAGCAAGAAGTTATGTTGAATACGTGTTCCGGTCTTTACTTTTCATCCTCTGGTATCCAATCTCAGGGATAGGTAGAAGTTCTAATATGTCTGTTCCATATCCTACTGCTTCTTTGTCTGATGATGCCATCAAAGCCGTATCCTCAGCTGTGGTGAACATACAACAACTAAGTTTAGGGAAGGAAGAGCAGTCGGTGACTCCTACTGAGGATAGCCAGGGAGTGGTGCTTCCAAATTATTTGCAAGCCCTTTCTGCTGACTGCTCGCATTTGAGCTTTGGAACCTATAAATCTGGCAAGAATACAACATGGTCCTAGCCACAAGCATCCAGTTCCTTGACAGATGACTTGCAAGAGATCTTGACAAAAACAAATGGTCCATCCTCTATGCATTTAAACTCTAGGTATGCACCTTTTTGAATAGTTCCAGTTTTGGCTTCCTTGTTCATGGTAGTTCATGATATTTGGATGTCTTTATTTGCAGGAACTTAGTATGTTGTGATGAAGAACAGCTTGAATTTGATTTTGATACAAATAGAGCAAATGCAGATGCTAGGAACTATAATTCCACCAAATTTTCACAGGCAGAGCTTAGGAAACTAGATATTCCTGATGCAGCAGTCTATGGGAATGATTTTGTCTCCCATTCGTCTATACCTGGTTCTAGTTTCAAGAACATCCAACAATCAAGTTCTGCTTTGTCATTTGTGATTGACCCAAATGCTGGGAATCTTCCTCCTTTTCCAAGTGAAGTGGTAAACAGTTTTTTTCCTCATTTAATGCCTACTTCATTCTTACAGTAGTTTCTTCCACATTGGTGTTTGTTTATGATATGTGGTGTTTATACTTGCTTGTGCAATCACTTGTTGATTTATTTCTGATTTCAGTTTCTTTTGAACTTTGCATTGATCGTTTGAATTTTGGGTGCTAGCAATCATATTCAAACTCTATACCTAGTGATTTATTGGTGGCAAGTATTCAGTCTATAACAGCAAGAGATTCTGCAGCATTCCTTGCGTCGCAGTTGATTTCATCAAGATACAGCAGTTCTGCATCATCCATTAAGAACGCAACTGCATCCAAGCCTGAGGTACAAATTCTAGAATCTGTTCTTCTGGGTAGCTCAAAAATTTTCAAGTTAGGTAAAATAGATTTTGGTGGTGATTATTTTCATTTGAATGATGGTTGAATCAGATCAGTCCGCTTTTGAGCCACGTATTCGGAAGGCAGCCTTTCTTATTGTGGAAAGGTTTATCCTAGACTTTTTACTGTTTTGTTGCTTTTTTAAGTGGGTAGATGAAAGTTATTAGCTTTTATCTTGTTGTAGAGAAGCACTAAATCTGAGTGCTATGACTACTAGCCATAGAATTTTGGAATATTCCTACCCTAAATGTTACTCTGCTGGATTGATTTCCTGAATGTGGTAGGGATAGGTATTGACTTGAATCTTACAAATGAAAGATATTTAGACCACTTATTGACCATATTATTCTTTTGCACGATTTGCTGGATTTTTTCATGTAAATTGGTGTCAAGTTTCAGATGAATTGGTGGCTGTCTAGCCTAGACATATTTAAATGATGCCATTATGTGAAGTATGGTGAATCTGGCTTTGAATTTCTGTTAAACTAGGATTTGGGTGCTTTTGTGCTACTTAAATGGACTTAAAAATTAAAGTATTTTTAATTGTTCTGTTAATTCAGGTTTTAAATTCTGGAGCCTTTTTTGCATCCCATCCATCCTCACAGGCCTTGCATGGTGCCAACCTTGCCACTGGACCTTTTACTTAAAGGAGCATTTTTCAGCACATTCTTATTCTCAAACTGGCTACCTGGCCATACCTCAAGGCCATACATATGCACCATTTGCTGTGCAACAAGCATATCTGAATGGCAATATGTTCCATGAATCTCATGGAGGGATGAAGTCCAATCTCCCACACTACAGACGTGCTGGCATGAGCAGCTTTCCTCTGTCAGGTTTTTACTCATCTGATTACCAAAGTTTAGGGAATTCTGCTGATATTCCTGGAAGTTTTCTGCACAATCTATCTGCTGGTCCAGCAGGCAGCAAAGCTGGTTATGCTGACTTTTTACGCTCTCAGTACAGGGATGAAGGAGCTAATTTCATCCAACTTCAACCGGTAATAACAATAAGCATATTTCATGATATGATGCATGTACTGTAATGTTTAGTTCATGGAATATATGACCATTTCATTCTCATCTTTTATATATTTGATGTATTACAGAATGATGTCTCTGCCAGATGGGATTATGGACATGGTTCACAAACCATATCAACTATTATGGATAGTGCTTATTACAGTTTACGAGGACAGAATCACCTGCTTGCTGGTTATCAACAGGGCCAGCTACATTCACAGCTCCATGGAGCTTTTGGGTATCCTGGTGTTTATAATTCTCACGCAGGGATCACAATAGAGAAGCAGCAGCAGCAAAAGCATCGTGATATGATTTTAAATGGTTCTCAAGGCTTGTCATCAAAGCACCTACCCCAAATTTGGCAGCGTAGCTACTAACGTCCTTTTGTTTTCATTTTGTTAGCGGCAAGACATTATAAAAGCGTCCGAGTAGGATGATATTACAGTTCAATCAAAGTTTTCAGTTTTGTTTTTTTTGTTTTTTTGTTTTAGTGCTTTTGCAATGTCCAATTGTACATACTTGAAAAGAGAAGCTGACTGGAAATGACGTCTGCCTCAACGTTGTATTCAAACTAATTTCAAGTTGGGGTATGATTGCTGCCGGCTAATGGGATGGTCCTTTTTTGATTGATGGGGCGATTCATATGTAGCTCTTACTTTTACGAATGGCCTTCCATGTGCAGCTCATGGATTAGTTATTGATTTGATTAGTTACATTTGTTGTCTATTCTTTTGTTCCCTTCTATCTTCAAGGTGTCTTAATATTTATTTTTGCGCAAGCAGAAGTTTTGATGTGGGTATTTGTTGGGGAAGGCTATTAACATGATTGAAGGACCAGTTGGGTTTATTACAAAATCACTCTTTCGGGTTCTCGCAATAAAATTATTGAATCAAACCCGCTACTTAAACTGTATTCGATTAGGATCTCTGAGTGTGCATGAATGGGGCAAGGCACAGATTTGAGAGTAGCCAGGGATCAAAACCAAGAACAAGACAAGAGGAATGTCCATAGACCAGGCATTGATGTAATACAAACGGCTCCCAAAATGCCAAAGGCAGAGACACCAATCTGTGCAGCTGAGGGTGAGAACATTGGGCGGCCTCGAGGGAAGCCAGCAGGCTCCAAAAACAAGCCGAAACCACACATCATCGTCATTCGCGACAGTGCTAATGCAGTAAGAGCCCATGCGATGAAGGTGACCTCAGGGTGTGATGTAAATGAGAGTTTGGCTAATTTTGCAAGAAGAAAGCAATTGTTACTCTCAGACAACCGGCCTCGTCTGGTGCAATTGTTACTCTATATGGCCGGTATAAGATTCTCTACTTGCTGGGATCAATCCTGCCCCATCAGCCCCACTTGGAATTACAGGGCTAACAATTTCACTAGCCGGGGCTCAGGGGCAGGTAGTTGGTGGAGGAATAGTTGGTGCATTCATTGCTTCTGATCTTGGCTGCATCCTTCATGAATGCCATTTGATCGTCTACCATTGGATGATGATGATGAAATTGCAGATGATATGCAGAATCAATATCACCAGAAGGGTCGGCACCGTCACCTTGACATATTTCTGATTTGTATGGGATGCAACAGAACTTGATCACCAAAGGCACTATCCCTCCTGAGATATTCTCTTGGCCACCAGGGTGATCTATGTCAAAAGCCTAACCTGATTAGCAAGCAATTCTTTGGAGATTGTCACATCCTCCAAATATAGTCATTTAGTGTTATTATGTATTAAACTTCTCTCAAATTAAGCAGTATCTTCATAGCACCAGTTGCTGATCCATATCTTTTTTCTGTAGTCAAATCTTGTTTGAGTGCAATATTGTGATTTTAAATATGTTGGATCTCCATCACCTATTTCTCAAGTATCAGTAATTGTGTGATTTTCTCTAATTGTTTGAGTGCAGTGCCGTAGTTCTTTATCTTACTATTAAGATTGTTGTACATAATTAGAAGGGATAATACCCCATTTGATCCCTAACTATTATAATATTTTTAATGTGGTAACTAAATTAAAAAAAAAATTTAATAAGTTATCTAAACTTTATTTTCATATAACAAATTGTCTCAATTTCTTAATATCGTTAAATAACACTGATATGATATTTAAATTCTGACGTAAGTAAAACGTGATTACCATTTGATATTTATATAGTTGTCATGTGTCATTTTTAAAAAATAAAAAATAATTTGATTATCATGCAACAATAATGTGATTGTTACATATATTTTTTATGTTTTTTGTTTTTTAAAACATATCATGTGATAACCATATATCAAACCATATGGCAATCTCGTGTTACTCATGTAAAATTTAAATTCCATTTTAACATTATCTAATTGTATTAAGGGGTGAGACAACTGCATATAAGAAAACAAAATTTAAGTACCTGATTAAAAATATTTTTTGTTTAGATACCATATCAAAATAAATGTAATAATTTAAAAGCCAAATGAGATATTATCCCTAATTAGAAAAGTATCTAACAACTAATCCTTTCATCAATGCAAATTCCTCTTGCTTTTAAAAAAGAGTTAAATTATATTTTTGGTACCTAAACTTTAAAAAAATATATAAATTGATATTTAAATAAATAAATATATAATTTACACCATAAACTTTTAAATAATATATTATTTTAATCCAAATTCTAATACTTTTAACTTAATTTACATATATAGTTTCTAACCAACATAATTTTGTTATATACAAAGCCGAAGCCAATGTGAGCAGGTAAGGCTCACGGCCTCCCAAAAAATTTTTACATTATTCCAGATCAGTAACTGAGCCTACCAAAGCTAATATCCATCCTCCCTTCGCTCATTTAATTCATTGTTTGCCCCCCCTTTAGTTATTGTCTAGTTTCGTCCCGATAATATACATGTTATTTGTTAAATAAAAAAGTTAAATATTTTGTAAAAGCTTCGTATGAATGTTACATGGATGTCAATTGATAAACAATAATTGACCGGTTTTAAATAATATTTTATAGTTAGAGTAAAAAATATATATACTTTCAATTTATATTAAAAAAAGATGTTGATAATATGTATGATAAACATATAATTTGATAATATTTGTCAAATGCTATAATATAAGATAACAAAATTAGTGGGATTAAAATTTAGATTAATATAATATATAATTTGAAAATTCAAAATGCAAATTGTATATTTTTTAAAGTTCAAGTAAAAAAATGTAATTAACTCTTTAATAAAATTATATCCACAAATAAATAGTGTTATTGGTTTTTTTTTTTTTTAATCCCAAAAGAAAGATCAACAAAATGTTAGGAATGATGAATTAATTGCAATAAAGGGCTCAGTACTTCAAATAGGAATAAAATATTTGTGATCCATACTAGGGCGGCCAACAATTTATGACTTAATCCTAAGTTTCAAGCTCATTCCTTACATTGTAATATGAGTTTCAACTCATTCAATATAGTGTATAACTCCTTTGCTTGAGGTTGCACCCTTCAACCAGAAACAAACAAATGAATTTCACCATTAACTTCGATCAGACCACACCCTGGTTCTTTGTCTAATTGCATCTCTTGCATTAAAAGTCTTCGCTTTGCTTGATTGCTTCCTTAAATTGCCTACTTGCAGCATAAACATTATACATAAGTACAAATTCAATCCTGACAATGACGGATGCAAATACTTAGCTAGGGTATTGGAAAATAAAAAAATTTTGAAGGAAAATTTTGTGTTGGATATCACCAAAAAATTTCTTTAAACACCTCCAAAATTTTTCTTTGAATATATATTTTTTAATTCTCTAATCACTTTACTCACTGCCACGAACCAATACCTAACCACACCCTATAGCGAGTCAAGATCCGGCATTCAGCAGACATCCACTGTAATAAGTGGATATCCTGAATCCCGAGAGAAAAAAAAATTCTAAATCTGCTATTATATCCAAAGCTTTCAGCTGGATCAAGTTCAATAACATGCCTTTTTGCCATCTCAATATTTCCATGCTTCCTGCATGCTGACAGCAAAGGCCTCCATATAATGGCATCTTCGTTAATGGGCATACTTCTTATTAGCTGCTCTGCCTCTTCAAGAACTCCAGCATTACCTAGTACATCAACCAACCATGCAATTATAATGCTTGATGGTTGCTTAGATTTTGTATTTTTCCATCATAAATGAGAAATAATCTTTGAATTTATATTTGATGCACTTCAGTGCATAATATTCATGCATTATCAATGAAACATAAAGTGTTACTTTATTAATGAGTATAATTGAAAATATAAAAATTCTTAAATAAATATTTATAAATTTCGCATGTTTAATTAATTAAAAAAATAATTTCTCAAAAGTAAATAAAAATAAGAACGATTAGTTTTTTTTTTCCCTCAATTCTGTCTGGTACATTTCTGCAAATAAAAATGATTCATGAGACAGACTTCCAAACTAGAAAAAATGTTGGCGCAAAATCAGCCAGAATACTATTATTCATTAATAAATTAGTTAAGCAGTTAGAAGAAAAACATGTAAACTCAAATCCGACCGAGATGAATTGTTATGGTAGCAGGCTAACAGTTGCATCTGTTTACTTCTTGTCCTGTTTTCTTAAGTGTAAAAAAAATGGCGGATTTTGAGGCTTTACTTTCTCAATCTTGACTTGCACTTCAAATTTGTAGATTATCTTTTTTTTTTTTTCTCTTTTTTTCTTTTTAGATAACTTAGAAAGTGACCTCTCACTTAGCAAATATTAAAGGAAATTCAAATGAAACTGAAAAAATTTTGAACCAACAGTTTTCTTTTTATTTCTTAATCTATCCCTAAATTTTTATGTTTCACCTTCTAAAAATTGGTTATGATACATTGAAGTAAGTCATACTTGTTACTATAGATATTATAAGCAGAAGAATTTGTAACTGATTTATCCTTTTTTATTTAATCTTGAGACTCAAATTATATTTTTTGAATAAAAAATATATACTAATATATCATTGAGTAAGTATTCAAATATGACATGTCAATAATTCTTTTGACCCATTAATTTGACACTTTTCATATCTATCCTTGGATTCCATTTGCATGTTCCCACTATTCTTGTTCTTAGTCTTGGGATATAATTTTCTTGCAATCTTTGTTTATTGCAATTGGAAAAGAAAATTTAAGTTTAAATAACGGTAAGTAAGACTTTTGGTTCTTCCACATACCTAGGATTTTTTTTTTTATTCTTGCATAGACCTAACTAATAATAGTTAGTCAACAATCATGTAATTTGTTAGTATAGTGCTGAATTTTTAATTGCAATAATCAAATTAATTTAGTGATAATTTTAAGTACTAAAAAAGTTAATAGTAGCTAAGGATTCTTTTTCAAAAGAAAATCTAAAATGCCCTGAACAATGCTTAATTATTTAATTCCTTTCTGACTCATGTCTAACAAAGTTAAAGCCGATTTTGAGATTATGGACCAAAGCAAAGATTCAAGATCTGCTCATAACATGAAAAAAAGTGTATTTTGAGATGGGAATTAGGCAATAATTATTGGCCTTGGGCAATTTTATAATTTGTCGTCTCCATCAAACCCATTCTTCATTTTTTAAAAACAACCTAATCTAATAGGGTTAACTATTAAGAAGTGGCTTTATTTGGGGTATAAAATAAAGGGGAATTATGGCTATATATTTTTTTTAAATACGTAGGGTATCCAATTGGTCAAAAGTGCATTTTCAGGGTAGAATTTTGGACCGTTCCTTCACTTTGAGAACCATTCTCTCCAATGTAGTTTCTCCATTAACCCATGGTCCCTCCTCCATTAATTTCTGATATCCAATGCTAGTTCACATTAGCTTTTGGTAATAGTGGGCAATTGAAAGCTATAGAATTAGAGGGCATAATTT